CAAAATTTCAAATCAAGAAAGAAATTGGAGAAACTCTTAAATCTTTGTCAGAATCGTTTCTTAAGTACTTTCCAAATCTCGACGAAACTGAAGTGTAATGGGTAATCCAACCCATTTATGGAATGTGAAGCCACCAATCTTGAAGAGGAGCTTGAAGAAAACGATTTGATTTGAGAAATGATTTAGTTTTCAAAAGAATTTTCGCTGAAAAAGAGCTGTCAGACTTCTGGACATATTTAAACAGCAAATTTCCTCGATTGAGCAGCAAAGCAATAGAATGCTTGTTGCCATTTGGAAGCTTTTATCTTTGCGAGCAAGGATTTTCGGCATTCACAGAAAGGAAGTCAAAAAAAGCGCGAGAGACTGCAAATGATCGATAAAGAAATGCATTTGCCTTTCAACAGTTGGGTCTCGAATCAATCTTATTTCGCTGAAAAGCAATCTCAAATTTCGCATTGATCAAAAATAAAGTTTCATTCTAATTGATTCAACATTTGTTAATACACATTTCTTCCATGATTTCCAACTAATGCTCTTTTTAATGGGGGTGCCGGGAAAAACATTTTTGGCTTAGTGTGCCGCGATGCGAAAAAGGTTGTCCGACACTGCTTTAGGCTGTTGCAGCTTCAGCCGGAGGATCGCTACCTTTCCGCTGACAGGCTTATAACAAATGATTCCATCAGCAAGGTTCGGTTCTACCAGAACACCAAACCTGGCTTGAGCACGCGTCATGATATCGACACCTGAGTAGAATAGCTTCCACTCGAAGAGGTTCGTGATTCAAAGTCTTCACGTTTCGTTGACGAGAGTCCAACAACGTCGAGTTGGTACCTTACGGCCTCATCAACTTGCTCCTGCACTTTCCCTCTAAGAAATGATATGTTCCAATTTCTGACTGTAAGCTCCCACTTGCAATTTCGCTCACGTGGAGTCTTCTCTAACGTGCTATAATGGCATCGTGCTGTCTGCCTCCTCTGTTCAGAACGTGTAGCGACTCCATTGCTGACTGGTACCTTCAACGTCGTTCCATCTATCTTCGTCAGCCGTTTTTGTGCTGTAACGCCGCTAACTGCCCGAAAGAAGGTTCTGATGGCCCACTTTTTGCAGCCTGCCTTAGTCCCTCACAGAGCAAATAGCCCTCGGTACCCCGGTGACGACCGATCCGGTATAATATTCGATGACGGCAGTACCATGAGGGGGAGATGGCTAAGTTTTATAGACAAACATCTTAAGAGTAAAAATGTTTTCATACTAAAACTTACATTCGATGTCTCCGGCGGAATTAACAGATGTTTAATTGGCCCTGCCTGAACACAGAATTTTCCCAAAATGGAGCCCGAACATAGATCCCAAAAAATCACCGCAAAATCTTTACTGCCGGAAACAAGATGATTTTCGCCATATCTAAATTCAAACACTAAATTTATAAACAGACCAAAACTCGCTTTCGCAATTTTCTATGCAGTACTGCTGTAAGCCAGCTTTAGTTGACTTAAACCTAAGAACATAACTAAACCAACGAGGAACAGTACCAAAAAAAGACAGCAGGCAACACCTTTGATCTCGATCACGTGCAAAAAACGCCATTAAAAATTGAACAAAATGCATACATGAATGATCTGCAATGTTTAAATCTCACATCTAAGCCGGCGGGAACCCAGAAAAGTGCAAACAATACATAACCATATCAAAACGGATCTCTCTGCCCAGCGGTCCCAATACTTAGAGCCCTTAGATAGGCAGCAACTCCGGAGATCTTCCCCTATTTAAACCGTCATTTAACAGGTCACATCATTTAACTTAACATTTTCAAACCAAAAAGAGATATCAAACAGACATAAACTAGCATAATAAAAAAATAGACATATCATAAAATAATAGAACGTTACGTACAAACTGTTACATTTCTTGCCGAACAGAATACCTGGAATGTTCCTCGTAAGGATACAGCAAACAGGTAATAGCATCGCTATGACCTCGTAACACTTTGATTGGAAAGAACTCTAAAACATTTCGCTAGAATGACAAATGGCTAAACGAAACCCTATCATAATTGTTAATACCATCGATCACGTTGTAGAACTGCCTTTCCAAAACCTGCGCGGCAGGTACAATTATTATTGAACCATCTTTGAGGCCGACCATCAGTTGCGCCTTGCTATGGACGTACAGAGTTGTGGTAACGTCTGGAAAATCCTTGCCCTTAAATTGACGAGAAGTGCAAACAATTGTGAAATTCATTTCAATGCTGTATATTCTTCAACAATAAACTGACGCTGGTTCCAGACGCAATGAAACAGGCGGATTGTGGCATATGCTATGGCTGTCGACTTTCAGTCAAATTACATTTGCCATCAACAGATCATCAGACAGTCATTTGGCTGTTTGCCCTGATGATGGTGGATGTAGTTCAGATAAAACGTCAGTAGTTATAGTAGAGTAACATCGGTCTGTTTCGTTGTTTTGTCTAAAACCACCGAAGTAGCAGCTTATTAAATAAGGAATTAATTAAAAATCTTTGATGCCATTTTTATGAGTCAAAAAATTTAATTAAACAAAATCCCATTCATGGTAAAATGAAAAATATGTTGATTGCAAAACTGCACACGAAAGCAACAGTACAAAAACACCCTTCAACTTACCCATCGACCAGCGATTCCCGACGGAGCCACTGAAACTTTCCGCCAGTGCTTGGAGATGCTCATCAAGGCCACTGGAAAGAGTTCTAAAATGAGAGCATCAGCCGCAAATTGCGTTTATAGAAACAGTCATATTCAACATGCATTTCAATACCAATCCGTCACACATGAAGGCTGTGGTGGATACTCTGATTGATTATAAACACAACACGCAACAAACTAGGCTGTAAAACACCGAAATACTTAACGCATCATATATATGTGTGCTCGTGTGTGTTCATGATCGCTACCGCTATCATTAATCTAAAGTAAACCTGGCTGAACAACAAATCAAGATAGAAATTAAACAAATATATATCTGTAATAGTAAAACGGCTAAATTAGACATTTGTGATTTATTAACTATTATTTTGGTATCGAGAAGTTAAGTGAAATGTAGTCCTGGTGGAATTAAGCGCTATATGACATACTCCGCCTTGCGTACACTGTTTCTTGTGAGGTAGCATACAAGGAGCACAAACTCCCGAAACCTCGTTCGTAATGAGTGGGACTTGACTTTAGAGAACAAAATAATGTGAGATGTACCTCGTCCTGCAGGTGACCAAATATCCCGAAGCCGTGGTCTGTCTAAATGCCCCCTTCCCTCAGGATAACTCTGAACAAAGTACGGTGAATGCGCCGCGAAATTTGGCCTAGGAGAAACTGAGCGTTATGTAACTTGCACCATTTAACATCAGAGATTGAACTCGTAACAACTTTACTGCTTCCTTTGGCGCATTTCATTATAGTCATGTGAAAAATCACACGGTCCATTTGCGCTTGAAAGTCCGTTCCATGTTTGGCGAATTTTCCATCATTTCTCAAAGAAGCTAAATGTTTTAGAGATTCTGTTTATCCATAAATTCATTCACATACGGTGCTGACAACATTTTCGTTTACTGATGCTCTGTTATCCTTTGCTTCTGCGACTCTGACAAGTCCTTCTCTTCGATAAATACTGATTAAGTTGTTCCAGGAACTCTCTCACGCTGCCATGGTCTAATACCAGACAGTGCAATCCAAATAACCGATAAACAGTTTTTCTCACAGTAGTTTCTTTGAGAAATGATGGAAAATTCGCCAAACATGGAACGCAGCTGCAGGTGCCGATGGATGTGCCATGAAAGGAATAAATATATGTATATCTAGAAGTAAAAAATAAAAACGCTGATAACCCGTGCATTGAGTTACATGTAAAAAAATGGCCACCCGTTTTGCGACTCGTTTCTCATTACCCGGAAGGGGGTGAGCTTTTTTGCGCAAAACAGCCACGACAATATCATCGGTTATTTCAGGCAATGCCCAGATCGACACCATTCCTGCTGAATCTGCACGAAAAAGCAAGCTTTCTGCACTCTGTGAGGTTCCTGGGGCATAGAAATATACGGGTTCGAAGACGTTCAACTAAAAAAACCACCGGTAAATGCTATGAGAGACGTCGCGCTAATCAGCGTACTTGGAGTTCTTCAGGCAACACTCGCACGACGCAGTAACAAAGTGGCTCCTGCAGATCCATGAGCTCTTTGTTGGGCTCTAATTTCCTAAAACAAAGAAAGTAAATGGATATTTTGCAAAGGTAATATAAGACCGGCAATGTAAATTACATTTATGAGACAATTAACGTCACAATTTGGACTTTTTAATGAGGAACAGCTCTTTCTTCTCCTCTTGCTTTCTCTCTCCCTTTTCAAATTTCCTTATCCACCTCTCTTCAGTTCCTTTCCGACTGTTCTTTAATCTTCATCTTCATTGCCTTCATTTTTTTCTCACTCTATCATCTAAGATAAACAGTCGCTAGAAGCATCAAAAAGAAATAATTATCCGCAAGGCATGTGGCGTTATGCGAGAAGCTATCACAGTGTTGCATCCAACAACTAGGGCAATAAAATCTTTAAAGAATAAAAGGCAGACCCACAACTCGAATGAATCACAAAGGAGAAACAGGAAAATAAAAGCGGTATGAAGAGCAAATTGATTATGAAATGAGTAAGATTAGCGCAAGTGTCAAGATTAAAAGCAATCATACAAACAATAACAGTAATCTCTTCGGTTAGGCATAAGACATCAGATCAGTCAGTTTTGCTTTGGGCTTATTCTTACTGGTTACTGAAGCGGCAGCATCAAACAAATCCACAGTGTTCACAATCTTGCGCCAAGATCTTAGCTTCGCAGAAGATAACGAGGCGGAGCAAAAGTTCGTCCAGGCACTTGCCTAACGTCGTCCGTAGCCTATGGCCTTCTTCTTCAGACTCTTCATCGAACAAATGGTAGCTTTTTCGCCTTTCTTTCTTAACGCATTCGCAAAACGTGCTCAAATCATCACAGCTATGACTTCTCAATCTGGAGAAGCACCGGTGGACTTCTAGGATATCGGAACTCCGGACGCTGTCGAGACATAAATCCAAAAATTCGTCTTAGAAAATCCATTTTGGTCGTTTGTATCATGGATCGCAATTTTTTATGAGTGATGACCATGTCATTAATCATCTGTCGTTTTGATCATCACTACGGTTATTTGCTACAGTCACTCGCCGACCCGTCAATTTGGTGGACCTTTAAACTCATTTAATGAAGCTTATCTTGGATGCTTTCAGTCCGCAGTCTATATTCAAGGTGTTATCCATTGTTGGACTATCAGAGCTTCCAGCATGACCAATTCAAAACTGCATGATGATCTTGCGATAAGCCTTACCCTAGCAAAAGGAATAAAATTAACCGTAACAGTATGACGGCGCACGAACTATGACATTAATTCCAGCATTCCTAAGGTTTCGTGACCAATTACTTCGACGCTCTTTCATGTTCAACTACGGTCTACATTTACCATACCTTCTTGTGCACAACATAAAATGAGGAAACTGTTTTGTATGTCAGGTAATCTTGGCTGAAGTGGACTAGCAGGTCCAGCATAAACCCGGTTCCCTTTGGTGACACTGTATGCAGTGCACAAATGAACAAGATCTTTTCTCCTAAGAATAACTAAGGGTTCAGGTCTGACGACTTGGTATACTTCAAATTTACAGGAGGAAATATTCGTTACTACAACAAAGATATATTCCTTATCATAAGGAAATACCTCAGAGAAGTAGTTCCGAGTTTTATCATCTTGCAGAACATCTACGACCAGTAAAGCGACTTTCTGTTTATGTCGTGAACAGTTTCGAAAAACTTTAAATCGAACCGGTTGCGGTATCTGACTTGTGCTGAAAATTTTTTCAGATCACTCCTCGTTAGCGATCCAGTGGTGTTATCGTACTCTGAAGATAATTCGTAAACAATGTTCTCAAATACAGCCTAGAGGAGCATCTTGATGCTTAAGAACCGCAAACGTTTCCATGCTGCACGTGAGCACCTCGAATACGTCTGCTCTCAACAATATGTTCGTTCCTATTCCAAAGGCTGCATTGATTCCATACTACATGTAGCTTCTATATCCATATCCATATCCATATCATGATGCTCTCTTTAA